TTTTACTGCATGCTGATATATTTTACAACAAAACATTACATAAACCATTCTAATTTAAAACAGGCAGCAGCCGCGGGAAAGCGAAAGATGAATGTTATGACACATAGAGTGATTATGCAACACAAAACATAAATATTCCTATCTGGCAAAAAGAGAGGCCAGAGGGTTATCGGTTTCTCAGTGTTGAACTGTATGCACTATCCTATATAACGACTTGTTTGTTTTTGCAGATCTACATGTTGAGAAGACAAAGGAATTGTGCATTGAACTGAACCAGCTGAGCAACAGAGTCTGTGTGATTCATGATGGAATGCTTAATGCTTGGATGGCAGAGGACTTCCTCCACAGCACATGGCATATCACAACTGCATTCGTTGATGCTACTGTTTTACATTTGATGGCATCGTTCCTTTGTCAAGCAATAACAATTTGAGTAAAACAAGCAAAAAATTATGAAGTGAAGTCAAGGTGGATATTTTGATCAGATTTGCTCACATTAAACCTCTTACCCAGTTAATGCTTTGGCTTTAACTCTGTAGCCTGGCTCAGGCAGACGCATCCTACGTGTCTACCTGAGGCTGTCCTTCCATTTTATGGAGGCCTTGCATAGTCGCCTGACCACTGGGGAGCAGTCCGGAGGTCAAGAACATTCTCAGAAGGAGTCTCCACAGCGAGGCCCTCAGTCCAAGTCTCCCCCCCAGCCCTGTCAACAACAGCAAACCGGCTCCCCAAAGCCCCATGGCACATTACAGCAGCCCAAACAATCCAGAAGGCAGAATCCAGAACGCAAACGTCTCAGACACCAGCGGCAGAGCATTGACTCAGATACAGCACCGGCGAATAAACAGGAGGCATCGACAGCAACGAAACCAACCACAGGTTTGAGTTTGACTCCAGAAATCCCACCTTCCTCAGCAGACGAGCCTGCCCAGTCTAAACCAGAAACCCAGGATGGGACCCCAAAGCAGAAACGTGAGCGTAAGCCTCAGAGACCAGGGAAATATGTTTGCACTTACTGTGGCCGTGCATGTGCCAAGCCTAGTGTTTTACAGAAACACATTCGCTCCCACACGGGTGAAAGGCCCTATCCCTGTGCCCCATGCGGGTTCTCTTTTAAGACCAAGAGTAACCTATACAAACACCGTAAATCTCATACCCACCGGGTGAAGGCAGGCCTGGCACTTGGGGAGTCGAAATCGACAGCGGAGCAAGCCACAGAGTCGGACGAGGAAACGAGACAGCTATCATCAGCTTCTTCTGTTTCAGAAAGACAAGACAGTGGAGCCTCAATCAAGAGTGTTGAAACGGACATGGCCAAAGATTGCCCTGGAGGAAACAATTACTCCTATGCGGTGAAAAAAAGATTGGCCCTGCGCCTAAGCAGAGGAAAACACACTCCTCAAGACTCATCTGATGAAAAGGCGTCATCTTTAGCTTTAGGTAGTAGAGGTAGTACAGAATCTGGCTATTTTTCTCGCTCTGAAAGTACAGAGCAGTCACAGGACAGCCCCCCCAACACAAGTGCCAAAAGCTATGCTGAGATCATACTTGGTAAATATGGACGCTTTGGACACCTACAGAGGATGTCTCGTCATCAAAACCAGCATCCCTCTGGTGAGGAGGAAAAAAGCATCTCATTCACGGTGCCCAAGAAACAGGTCATCGACCATATAACCAAACTTATCACCATCAACGAGGCAGTGGTGGATACCAGTAAAATTGACAGTGTAAAACCAAGGAGATTCTCACTCTCCAGAAAGAACAGTTCTGAGTCTCAGAAGAGTTCAACTGTGAAAGAACCGGTCATTCATAGCCCCAAGGTTGGCGATGTGGGCTATAAAAGCAGTGGCTCTATCACTATGGGAGTTCCATGTGAAAAATTTCATCACCCACCTTCAAATATGGAGCAGCCAGCTAGCCAAACGTCCACCACCCCGCTGGTGCGAAGTCATTCAATGCCACCTGAAGCCAGTTTATTTGAGACCACCAGTGGCGGCCAAAGCAAATGTCGCCTAAGTCAGTCCTTTGACGAACGACAGCCTTCACGTCGTTATGGGATGCTAAGACGACAGCCAGCAATTGAAATTCCACTTGGTACAGAACTTACAAAAGAGGAACACGAGGATTCTCTTTCATTTTACTCTGACAGCTTAACCACTGTGCCTGACTGTAAGCAAAGTCAACCACAGCCATATGAATGTGAGGCCTGTGGCACAGGATGCAAAGATTGGGTAGGTTATAAAAAACACAAGCAGAGCCTGTGCCTATCACATCAACCCATCAATGAAGTGGTAATTAGTCAAATGGAGTGTTCACAAGTAAAGAACAGTGCAGTCAGGGCAGGTGTTTCAGTAATGCGCAAGAGAAGGAAAGAGGAGAGTTTTGAATTTGATGACCCCTCTTCTCCTTCTTTACCTTGTTCTTCCCTGTCTTCAGGCCAGTGCAAAGATGAAAGCAGTGGAGCTTATGAGGGCCAGAGGAAGCCTGCATTGCAAACTTGTTCAGTAATTCAGCATACTAGTTCCTTTGAAAAACAAGAATCCTTGAGTAATGAGAATCCAGGTGCAGAGGCAACAAAGCACTCTCCACCTCATGAAGATCATCAGCTGTTGCCTCAAAAACAACCTCAACAACATGTACCAAAACTAGCAGCCCGAAAGCTGGTCCGCCAACACAATGTGCAGGTTCCAGAGATCCTGGTGACAAAGGATCCCAACATGAGTACAGACACTTCAGCCGAACCTACCACCACAGCAAAACATCAAGAGAAACTAGATGAATTTCAGTGGCCGCAGAGAAGCCCCTCTCTGGCACAGCTCCCTATTGAAAAGCTTCCTCCAAAGAAGAAGCGGTTACGATTAGCTGAAGCTGCCCAGTCATCAGGAGAATCTAGTTTTGACTCTCTGTCCCTGCCCCGCAGCCCTAGTCAGGACAGTAGTGCATCATATGCATCCAGTCGCTCCACGTCCTTTGAAGAGTCAAACAGACAGGACATGGACGTTGCAACATCAACGCCACTAAGGAGATCAAGAGCTCTTCATATGCTGACGGTGCCGGGGGTGCATCAGCACAGAGAGATGAGGCGCTCAGCATCTGAACAGGCCCCTCACGACCCACAACAGAGTGTCCTCATGGCTGAGACCCGCAGTAAGTCTTTTGACTACAGCTCTCTATCCCCTGAGCGCTCTGCAATTGGGTGGAGAGAAAGAAGAAAATGTCTATTAATGAGACACACTGCTATCAGTGATCCAGATGAGGAGGAGGAGGAGTGTACGATCCTGAGCCGTGGTCCTGAATATCTCAACCCAAGCAGATCTTCTCAAGCAAAAAGCCCAACTTCTGTACACTGCAGCAGGCCCTCTTCTTCTTCTCTATCAGGGGACACTGTTTTACATAATCCAGTGGAATTGCAGTGCAAAGATATCTTTTCTCAGTGGAAACTTACTCAAAATATTCAGTTGATTGGGAGCACAGAACTGTCCCTTCCTCATGACCCATCTACAACTGTAAAAAAGGAGACCTATACAGAGCAGGCCCTTGCTCCTGCACCACAGCAATATCATACGCATGGACCATCAGGGGCTGCCAGAGCCCGCTATCTCCCCATGTCTACAGGGCTGAAACTAGAGATTCCTCCACAAGACGATGACTACTCAGTAAGTCGCTCCCATGTTCGCCAGTCTGCCCCTAACATCAGTTCCAATCTAGAAATATTGAGGCCAGTCACGGATCCAGCAGTTGCAGTGCGCCTCCAAACAGACACACACACCCCTGCATGCGCCATATACACCACATTGTCTCAGTCCACCTCCCCTAGGCCCCAGGAGGCAGTTAGTGCTGTCCCACAAAGTGCAGGTGTTTCAACAGCTGAACAAAGACCCCACAGGGACATGAGTCCAGATCTTCAACTGTGGTCTGATGATAGCCTCAGGTTATCAGGCTCAGGGGGCAATAAACGGATGCTTTCCCCCTCAAACAGCATGGAGCTGCCTCCAGAGTCACAGCAGCAGCAGAAAAGAGTAAAAGAAGAAGAGGAGAGGGAGATGGGTTGTTCTGACAAAGCAACAGTTGAGACTTGCAAGCACAAGCTCAAACAGGAGTCATGTTTACCTGCTATTTGCTCTCCCGTCTCGCATGTTGGGCCTTCATTCCCCAGTCTGCTGTCCAGCACCTGTAACAGCTGGTGCTATTTAAACTACATTAAACCAAACCCTTCTGCTCTGGATGAACAGAAGCCCTCAGTGTATTCATCGTGGTCTACTAGTGGCTATGACCCCAATCCACCTGGCCTCTCCAGCAAGACAGTTCTCTCTCTGCTTCACTGCAAGCAGAGGCTCAGTCCATCCATATATACACTATCCCCCATGTCAGTGCAGGCAGCAGAGTCAGTGGAGCAAGAGGACGACAAAAGACCCTCCTCCACAGAGGTAATTACAACACTGACCACTGATTACACCTGTCGGTAGACCTAATCATTACTATTGTAACAGAACTGAACGAAAAGAATCAAATAAAACTGATCAAAATGTAAGGACTGGTAGGTGATAAGAAGTAGAGCAGACACTGAGACACTCCATATAGGAGGCATAGAAAAGAGTGGGTTAGCTTTCCTTACCATTTTTGTTATAGAATCCAAAACGGGAAATGTCATTTAACGGGGTCAAAATTTAAACTGTTGAAATGAAGCGTGTGTCTTAACACATGTAATAAAATACATCGTTCAATGAGAATTCCCAATTTTTGTCTCCCTGGGCATGCTGGAGCAGAGTTGGTGAATTTGCCCGTGTCTCTTTCGAGTGTAGGTCTGCAAAAAGCAGTCATGCTACAGAGACTACGAGGGAACAAAGAAAGGACATACATCAGTGGATGACAACAAGTCAAACAGAAAGGAGGAGAAGGAGGAAGAGAAGGAGGACGAGGCAGAGGAGGAAAAGGTCCAGTCATGCTCCAGAAATGAAGTTTGGGTCTCTGAGAGAGGGTGAGTATGATCTCCTGATAATCGCAGCAGTATGTTAGCTAACCGTGTTGGGTTCTGGAATGTGATGTTATACATTACTCAGTACTTTTCTTAAAAGTAATGCACTACATTACATATTTACTTATCAAAGAAAGTAACTTGTAACTCGTAATGTGCACGCTGTATTACTCTGTATCATGACCTCCAATGTATTGTCTCATATTTACCAGTTAATACTATAAACCTCAGGCTACAGTCTTACATACTGACACAAAGGCTTGTCCTAGTGAGAACACACGCCTGCAATTTTATTTATTTTATTTTTATTTTTTTAACAATATGAACACAAAGCTAAAAAGCTGAATTATCACAGTGATTCTACTTTACAAACATGCACAGATAGAAATGGAGGCTGCTACGCTGCAAGCCTGACTGCTCATTACTGCCTTTGTTACCTGTTAAAGTTCAGGGTCTGGCTGCTGGTCTAAGGTTGGCATGCACTCAGCTTTGAATAATTCTAGTGCTAGCTAGCTCTGTGTTAGCAGCATAATACAGTTTTTTCACTTTACCAACGTACTCTTGTCCTTTTATGCAATAGAACTAACAGTAATGTCCATATCTCAAACCACTGAAGTTATAGACAGCGTCACCATTTTCCTCTTCTCTGCACAAAAACGAAAATCAGCTGATTGTAGCGCTAGTGTGTGGGAGGAAAAAGGCATGGTTCTTTGTTTGAGCCACATGTTGTGCAGATAACTCTTAAGGTTCTCTTTCATAGCATTCGTTTCATGTCTCACTATGGGGGAACGCCTCCTGCGTGACCTCATCAGAAGCTCAAATACCATTACGCCAGCCCTTACAGGCTGGCTAAGTGACGCCCATGTCAGGAGGGGCCAGTGCCTCCCTATATAATAGGCTGACATAGCGTCAGATGTCATTTAAAAACCTCTTCTTGCTTCTCACAGAAGCCTGTAGACAACTGTGCTATTGGGTGCTAAAGCTAAACTGTCCACAGATTCGAGTGAACAACTCGGTCGCCGGGCGCTTTGTTCCCAGCTTTTCAGTTGTCCACTAGCATACAAGCAGTAGCAATACTGTTCTGTAGCTAGTGCTGGTGCCAAGTAGCAATACTTTCACCCAGGGAAGTAGCAATATTTTCCGAAAGTAGCAACACTTTGCTAACAAAGGTACCTCTAGCTTCACCATCAGGTAGCAATACCCTTCGACGCTAGCAGTTTTACACATTAGGTAGCAATACCTGTAGAAAAGTAGCAACACTTTTCACCCCACGTTAGCGAGGAATAGCAATATTCACCGCACTCAGTGTCAGTCTCGCTAACGTGCGCAACCCTCTAGCTAACCATGGCTACGACGGCCAACGAAGTTGCAAAACTCTGTCCTTGCGGCAAGAAGATTTCTGCCTGGGATACACACCCCGTGTGTGCAGCATGCCTGGGTTTATCTCACGCTCAGGCTGCCTTGACACCCGCACAAGACTGTATCCACCGCAAACTACTCCGCCGCAGGCTAGCTCGCCAGGCTAACCTGTCGGGTGGCGACCCTTTGCTGTGTGAGGCTGCTGCGGCGCAAGGAGAAATTGAGGTGCCCGATGATTTGGCCGCAACGCCAGGGGCGAGCTGGGTAGAGGCAGACATTCAGCCCATCGCGACTGCTTTCCCGTCGCTGGAGGCACACGGAGATCGTGAGTTTTTCCCCGATGTTGGAGTCACCTGGGGAGGAGATGCCAACGAGGACGGAGATGAGTCGGCTGACTCGGAGCTCCTGCTGTCTGACAACGAGGAGGAAGATTCCACCTCCTTGGCTAGCATCAGCTGGGCTGCAAAGCCCTCGGCTACCGGCGAGGTTGAAAAACCGACACCGCCGTCTCCCCTGGATCTCGACATGCAGGACATGTGCAAGCGCGCCGCTGCAAGGCTCAACATCCCGTGGCCCGCCGTACAAACAGAGATTGTAAAGTCTCGTTTTGATGGAAAGAAATTGCCGAAGGCGAAAAAGACGGGCAAGCATGTGTTGCCTGTTTTCCCGGAGCTACTCGATGAGATAGCGGTGACGTGGAAAGCAAAACCTTACAGCGAGAAACACCCCATCGTGGGGAGCTCCCTGCTGGATTGTGAGGGGATGGAGTCTATCGGCCTCTGCCAGATGCCGCAAGTGGAGCCGTTGGTAGCGAGCCATCTTCACCCGAAGATGTCTCTGTCCTCATCGGCCCCATCTCCCCCCTCCAAAGCAGACCGCTTCCAGTCTAGCCTTACAGATAAGTGCTACAAGGCAGCGGCTCTGTCAGTAAGAGCCCACAACGCCTCCTCTATGCTAATGGCTTACCAAGCTGAGCTAGAAGAGGACATGACAACTAAACCAGATACCACAGTGTGGAAAGAAATCTGTGTTATAACTGACCACGTCCTCCGCCTCCACAAGGTAGCCATACAGGCTACTGGGAGAGCCATGGGCCTCATGGTTCTTCAGGAGCGAGCACGCTGGCTCGGGCTCACCAACCTGACGACCAAGGAGAAAGAGGAACTCCTCGACACCCCTGTCGTGCCTCAAGGCCTCTTCGGTGCGGCTGTTACATCCATGCAGAAGAGATGTGAGGAGAAAAAGAGAGATGATGAGGCTCTGAAACTCTGCCTGCTGAGGAGGGCCCAGCACGCCACCCCAGCGGCACCGCGCCAGTCATTCGCGCAGGCAGCGTCTCGCCCGGTCCCTGCTTTCAGGATTCCCAAAGTGCCTAAGACGCAGGCAGCCCCCCAGGCTGCCGGGGCCCATAAGAATCCATGGACTCGGAAACAGTCTCCCCAGGCCAGACCTCAAGCGGCCCCTCCTCCTCTCCCCGCTGCCGAGATCGTGAGGAGGAAGAAGCGGCCAGCCTGACAGCCTCTCCTCTAGGTGGGAGCAAACCCAATTTCTCACCTTCATGGGTTGCCTCTCAGCTCCGTTCCAGAGCAAGTTCAACAGGACATGTTCCAAACAGAGTGCTTAACTCGGGCCAGTGTTCCTGTCACCGGACCCGCCAGAGGGAAAGAGCATTCTGTATTAAAAAAGCCCCGACACGCGCATCCAGGCAGTTTGCCGAGGGCGCTGTCAAGTGTTGGCAAACACATGAAAAAAATCAAATGTGATGATGCAGATGAGCCCGTCACCTCGCTCGCCTGTGACAGAGGTGATGGGACACCGAAATGGCGTATGTTTCGCGCTGCGACCACAAGGGGGCGCCAAAACGCCATCTTCGGTGGAGTGGCCAGTGAACCCTGTGTCTCTCCACATGAAGAGCACCTGCATTCAGTCAGCATGGGTGCTGAGGACATTGGAAAAGGGCTACAGGCTGCAATTCAATGTCGCTCCACCACATTTCAAAGAAATTGTTTACTCTCGTGCTCTGGGTGAGTCTGCCAGTTTTCTCCTGGAGGAAATTTCAACCTTGAGAGACAAAGGAGCTATAAGAGTTGTCCCTCCCGAGGAAATGCACAGCGGATTTTATTCAAGGTATTTCCTTGTGCCAAAGAAAGGGGGGAGGAGGATGAGAGCCATTCTGGATCTCCGTGCCCTGAACCGGCATTTAAGGACATACAAGTTCAGGATGTTGACGCACGCCTTGCTGCTACGGTTTGTACGAGCGGGCGACTGGTTCACATCAATTGACCTGAGGGATGCTTATTTCCACATCCCCATATATCCCCCACACCAAAAGTATCTGAGATTTGCTTTCCAGGGGATAGCATACGAGTTTGTAGTCCTGCCTTTTGGTCTCTCACTGAGCCCAAGGGTGTTTGTGAAATGCACCGAGGCAGCAGTGGCCCCGCTCAGGGAAAAGGGCATTCGGGTGGCCACATACATTGACGACTGGCTGGTGGCAGCCCCAACCCACCAGGGAGCGACTTGTCACACAAATGCTCTCATACACCATCTGGAGAGTTTGGGTTTCCAGATAAACGTGGAAAAGAGCACATTGACGCCAACTCAATGCATTACTTTCATAGGGCTCAGCCTAGACTCCCTTCGGGTGAGGGCTTTTCTGTCCCCGGAGAGAACGGCGGCCATACAGTCATCCCTTGCACTGTTTCGCAGAGGCAACACAGTGACCCTCAAACAGTGCCAGAGGCTGCTCGGTCTGATGGCTTCTTCTCTAGTGGCGATAACACTGGGACGCCTGCACATGAGAGGCTTTCAGCGCTGGGTGGGCTCGCGGGGACTGGACCCTCACCGAGACGGCCACCGTCGCGTGAGAGTCTCTGCAGACTGTTCACTCGCTCTCCGCGAGTGGAAGAGGCCAGGTTTCTTGTCTCAGGGCGTTGCCATGGGGGCAGTTTCAGCCAGGAAGGTGATTCCACAGATGCCTCTCTTTCCGGCTGGGGGGCCACCCACGAGGGCAGAACAGTGAATGGGGAATGGGGCCCTCACATGCGCTCCACCCACATAAACTGTCTGGAACTGCTGGCGGTTCACCTGTCGCTAAAACACTTTCTCCCTTGGCTGAGAGGTCATCATGTTTTAGTGAGGTCGGACAATTCCACCGTTGTGGCCTACATCAACAGACAGGGGGGTCTGGGGTCCCCCAAGTTACACACCTGGCACACAGACTGATAGTCTGGAGCAGTGTCCACCTGCTGTCACTGAGAGCAACTCACGTGCCGGGGATCTTGAACTTTGGAGCATATCTTCTCTCCAGGGGCAACCCACTGTATGGGGACTGGAAGCTTCACCCAGAGGTGGTGAAGCAGATCTGGCTGCGATCTCCACCATCAAGGTGTATTTGGCAGCAATTTCGGCCTGCCATATTGGTTTTGAGGGGAAGACTGTTGGCCAGCATCCCTTAATATGCCGTTTCATGAAGGGTGCACGGCGTAAATTGCCTACATCTAGGCCGTTGGCTCCATCGTGGGACCTTCCCACAGTATTAGCTGCGCTCTCCTGTTGCCCATTTTAACCCCTGGAACAGGTTGAGTTAAAATTTCTGTCCTTGAAGACGGCTCTATTAATTGCTTTAGCTTCTGCTAAACGCGTAGGAGAGATCCACGCTCTCTCAGTGCATCAGTCATGCATTCAGTTCTCTTCGGATAATACGAGGGTCAGTATGCGGCTCAACCCTGCCTTTGTTCCGAAGGTTATCGGCACATTTTCCCCTGTAGAACTGCCGGCCTTTTGCTCACCGCCTTTCTCCTCAGAGGAGCGACAGCGGCTGCATAACTTGTGTCCAGTCCATGCTCTGCGCATTTACATGGACCGAACCCAGAGTGTCAGACAAAGTGACCAGCTGTTCGTGTCCTGGGCTAAACCACATATGGGAAAGCCTGTGTCTAAACAGCGCCTCTCCCATTGGATAGTAGGAGCAATTGCCCTGGCCTATACTAGCAGGGGCCTTCAGCCTCCTGCTGGCTTGCGTGCGCATTGGACTAGAGGTCTGGCAACCTCATGGGCTCTCTTTAGGGGAGTTTCTATTCAAGAGGTGTGTGCAGCTGCATGCTGGACCTCACCTCATACATTTGCTAGGTTTTACAGGTTAGATGTGACGGCACCTAGCCTAGCGCATTCAGTCCTCAGTGCAGGTTCTTCCCGGGTGGGGGCTTCTCCCCTGTGAAGTGCTGTTGGGGACAGTTGTCTTCTTAACAGGCATGTCTGGCAATCCGGGAGTCAGTATTTCTCCCATAGTGAGACACGAAACGAATGCTATGAAAGAGAACTTAAGGTTATGTATATAACCCCGGTTCTCTGAGTAGCATGAGTGAGTGTCTCACCAGACCACCCCCCTTGCTATGGAAGCGAGGAAGAGGTGGGCTCGTTTTGAATGACATCTGACGCTATGTCAGCCTATTATATAGGGAGGCACTAGCCCCTCCTAACATAGGCGTCACCTAGCCAGCCTGTAAGGGCTGGCGTAATGGTATTTGAGCTTCTGATGAGGTCACGCAGGAGGCGTTCCCCCATAGTGAGACACTCACTCATGCTACTCAGAGAAACGGGGTTATATACTTAACCTTAAGATTTTTGTAACACAAGTAAGATTATCCAGCACTGTTGGGTAATAATGATACATTGTTTTTATTTATATTGTAATGCTCTGCATTACTTACAGCGCAGAAAGCATGTGTCACATTCTGTTCTGTGTTCTGGAAACTGTTGTCGTCCGTTACGTTGGACAGGCTAAGGGTTGGCTGTCTGCACCAGCAGAGTCCATCTGTTGAAGGCCTGAAGCCAGGAAACTACCTAGCTTCCTCTGCTCCTGCAGAGATTCATTTACACCAGCCATCAGAGCCATTCACATAGAGCAGCAGTACATTGTTGGCTGTGTGTATTGGTGTAACACGGACATTGTGTACAGACATGGCATTAGTCATTAAAGAAAATCTCCTGTACGGACAGAATGGAAAATGGACAAATGCTATACAAAAAAAAAGAGCTTGGGCCTAGGAATATGCTGAGGAAACGTGAAACAAAGGCTCTGAAAATGTTTTCATTTGCTGTTAGTTTGGAAACTGTTTCCTGTAGGTTTATGGGTATAATGCTTTTTTGTAAAAGCATTCCCAAAAACATAATAATATTAAGATGAGTCAAATATTGACTATATTTTGTTTTATTAACCCGCTGAGGTTCAAGTCCTCATTGGTGATAATCCTAACCCTATTTTGGAGGAGAGCAAAATGGGTATTTTGGTTAAAATGAGCTGAATATGTGTCTTTACATGTTTTGTTGTTTGAGGCATGTTGCTTCCATTATTTATTGATGTATTTGTTTTTTAATTGGGATAGTAGATAGTAGCAACCCTTTAGCCATTCTGAAAAATAATTTCTCAAAACAGCTTGCAGATTAACCCTGTGAGGTCTAACTCATTGGTGATGACCTCACCCTTAAAGTTAACCTTTACCCTAACTCTAGAAAATCGGAATATGATTTTTTTTTTCTCCTGTATTTATATTGTTCTTTCAAGTCTTTGCAATAATGGAACAAAGAAATAATTCTTAAGATTACTCTAAAAGAGACTTATCAAAATGAGGGGGTAGGCTTATCGACAATTATTACTTAGACCAACAGCCCCCAACCGTTTTTTGCACCAGTTTATGTCCGACAATATTTTCATGGACTGGCCTTTAAGGTGTCGTGGATAAATACAACAAAATAAAACCAGTACCGGTACCAAAAGAAGATGTATTCATAACACACTGGGAAAGACCCAGGGAAACAGAGTTAACGATTAAAAAAATAACAATAAAAACCCTGAAAACCATAAATTTCACACCTGAGCCTCAACTCTCACGGACCGGTACCGGTCCGTGGCCCAGGGATTGGGGACCGCTGACTTAGACCCCAGAAGAACCTTCTAGCCCAGACTTGGCCTGTCAGACCTAGCAGAGGTTGGCCAGGCTATTTGGTTGAATGAGCTTATTATTTCTTAACCTGTAACCTAATGTTTGCCACTTGACTGACGAGCATCTTACTCATGGCAGGAAGACACATTTGATTAGCTGTCAGGGCATTTAATCAATCTTCCAACCTTCATTTTAAATACTGTTCTAAATCAGCGTGAAACACAGTATATTAAAGGATCATTTAAATGCAAGTAACCATAGTAAAATAGCTGTGCTTAATGATGTGTAACAGATATGAACTACACACAGTAATTACTTAAAATTGAATAATAAGCTGTGATGTGAACACCGTGTTATCCTTTGGCAGGATTGGCACAAAGACAGTAAAACACCTCAAAGTGCCCCAATCCCAGCAAATCAGTGGAGGAACTACCTCCGATTTACCCAAATTTGGCAAGAGTCACTGTTCATGTTAAAAAGAAAAGAAAACAAGATGAACAATGGCTAACACTCATTCTGAAACTAACATATCATTTGAACAGATGTAAGTAGGCACAGTCCGTTCTACTATTCTTATGTAGCACACACTCATCTCCTCAGATTCATTTGCAGGGAGGTTAAGCCAGACATGCTCAGTAATTTTGATACCTATCAGAAATAAACACTGCTGTGATGTGATAAGGGGAGTGCAGAGAGGTGCCATCTGTGTGTCTCTTTTTTGGTTCAGGAGTGTGTCTGCGAACAAATCCCTGTTGTGACTCATGTTGACGCTCATCGCAGCCTTCCTAAAAAGAGTGAGTCATCCTCACGCCCGCCCGCTTTCTGCTTTCTCCGTCTGCTCTGTCTGTCTGAGGAACATAAAGACACAACGGAGGCAGCAAGCTAGTGGGATGTTGCCATTTTTTCCTTTCTTTTTTTTGAAGTGGGGAAAGCCAAGGGCTCTAGGCTCAAATCTTGAGTGGGAACGGGTGTTACATGAAATTTATACCTGCCGAGTACAGTATAGAGGTACGAAGGCAAAGTGTTTCTCTTTCATTAACTTGGAAGTTTTCCGACACTGTAAAAGCAACCATTTATGATACCTGCTGAGTTTATCCAGCCACACAGCCTGTGGTGAAAATAGAAGAGAAAAACAGCCAATTATAACCAGAACCATTGTTTGTCATAGGAATGTGTTTTTATTTTCAGTGTTTTTTCACGTTTATTTGGAGCAGCTGCTGGTTTGGGCGAGGGTTTCCCTCCCTCTTGTGCCTGTTTTTATTGGCTGCGCTTTCAGCAAACCTCTGGACCTGAAGCCGCATCGAAAGCTCCCTCTTGTTTGGGCTTGGTGGTTGTGTTAGCTGTGAAGGGTGGGAGGCGGAGGGGGCTGGTTTTTGGCTTATGAAAGCTTCTCTGTTGAAGCTGAAGTAGGTGCCTCACTGAAGGAAGTCTAAGTGAAGTGGTGTGGACCCCAAGCCCAGCCGCCACAGTTTGAAATTCCCATGTTGTAAAGGCCAGCACCAGA